ATTATACTGTATCTGAGAGCAGAAGTGCCATCCAAAGGTCCAGATTGAAGGTCGTCTGTTCTTGAAAACAAAGTTTAAAAAAAAGTTGTCTGTTATGTCACAGTCCTGAAACTATTTAACCTGAATCTTAGGCTGGGTTCACACCTATGCAGTTTGCGTTTGATCCGTTTCTGCAGTGCATTTTGCGTTTTGCTTTCTTGTTGCTAGGAAGATTTAAAAATACAAAACGCAGGGAAAGACTGGATATAGTGAATGCAGGGTCCGGGGAGACCAGATATAGTGAATGCTGGGTCCGGGGAGAGCGGATAAAGTGAATGCAGGGTCCGGGGAGACCAGATATAGTGAATGCTGGGTCCGGGGAGAGCGGAAATAGTGAATGCTGGGTCCGGGGAGAGCGGAATAGTGAATGCAGAGTCCGGGGAGAGCGGATATAGTGAATGCAGAGTCCGGGGAGAGCGGATATAGTGAATGCAGGGTCCGGGGAGAGCGGATATAGTGAATGCAGAGTCCGGGGAGAGCGGATATAGTGAATGCAGAGTCCGGGGAGAGCGGATATAGTGAATGCAGAGTCCGGGGAGAGCGGATATAGTGAATGCAGAGTCCGGGGAGAGCGGATATAGTGAATGCAGAGTCCGGGGAGAGCGGATATAGTGAATGCAGAGTCCGGGGGAGAGCGGATATAGTGAATGCAGGGTCGGGGAGAGCGGATATAGTGAATGCAGAGTCCGGGGAGAGCGGATATAGTGAATGCAGATCCGGGGAGAGCGGATATAGTGAATGCAGAGTCCGGGGAGAGCGGATATAGTGAATGCAGGGTCCGGGGAGAGCGGATATAGTGAATGCAGGGTCCGGGGAGAGCGGATATAGTGAATGCAGGGTCCGGGGAGAGCGGATATAGTGAATGCAGGGTCCGGGGAGAGCGGATATAGTGAATGCAGGGTCCGGGGAGAGCGGATATAGTGAATGCAGGGTCCGGGGAGAGCGGATATAGTGAATGCAGGGTCCGGGGAGAGCGGATATAGTGAATGCAGGGTCCGGGGAGATGCAGATATAGTGAATGCAGGGTCCGGGGAGAGCGGAAATAGTGAATGCAGGGTCCGGGGAGAGCGGATATAGTGAATGCAGGGTCCGGGGAGAGCGGATATAGTGAATGCAGGGTCCGGGGAGAGCGGATATAGTGAATGCGGGGTCCGGGGAGAGCGGATATAGTGAATGCAGGGTCCGGGGAGAGCGGATATAGTGAATGCAGGGTCCGGGGAGAGCGGATATAGTGAATGCGGGGTCCGGGGAGAGCGGATATAGTGAATGCAGGTCCGGGGAGAGCGGATATAGTGAATGCAGGGTCCGGGGAGAGCGGATATAGTGAATGCAGGGTCCGGGAGAGCGGATATAGTGAATGCAGGGTCCGGGGAAAGCGGATATAGTGAATGCGGGGTCCGGGGAGAGCGGATATAGTGAATGCAGGGTCCGGGGAGAGTGGATATAGTGAATGCAGGGTCCGGGGAGAGTGGATATAGTGAATGCGGGGTCCGGGGAGAGCAGATATAGTGAATGCGGGGTCCGGGAGAGCGGATATAGTGAATGCAGGGTCCGGGGAGAGTGGATATAGTGAATGCAGGGTCCGGGGAGAGCGGATATAGTGAATGCAGGGTCCGGGGAGACGGATATAGTGAATGCAGGGTCCGGGGTTTAGTAACACTAAGATTTGCACAATAAGTTTTGCTCAATGGCAGCCCCCATAAGGATTTAAGTGAAGGAGATGATTATGTGGAAATTGTTCCGATGACGGTTTTTGAGGAATTACACGGATTCTTGACCTCGACCCCCATGGGCAGTGTTATGAATTGTGATGATAAAAGTATGTGTTTTCTGTCATGACATGTCCTTCTCTTAACTGCGCTGATCCCAGAGGAGCTTTAAATCCAATCAGTGTTTACCCAAAAACTATCTTATATCCCCCTGCAGAATGTACACCATGTAGGATTTGCCGCATTCCAGTCTCCAGTCTTCTTGTTATAATAGGAAAATATATAACTTCGTGGAACCGCTTCATCTAAAGCCGTTTAATCGTTCACATCCGAACTCCAATGAAATGGCCGCGACCTCAAAGACATTTTTTTTTTCAAAAGGGACAAAGAATGTGACATGTCACTGCAACCCGGTCATTTAATAATGCTCAGGCAGAAACCAGGCACTGCGACAGCTGTTAAAGGAGAACTCTGGTTTTGTTAACCCCTCACCCTCTAAAGGATTTCCCCCCCTTCCTGACCAGGCCATTTTTTGCGATACGGCACTAGGTTACTTTAGCGCCTCCCAGCCCTTTAAGGGTTTCAGAAGTCGGGAGGCGGGGTTTAGAGTCATGTAACCGCCGTGACGTCACGGCGGTCACATGATCGGGAAAGGTCCCGGTCGAAAGAGGAGATCAGGATCTTTCCGTGAGTACCGGACATGCGTGCTGGGAGCGCGCTCTCGGCACATATGTCCTTTTTTAACAGAACGCAAATGTGCGGCCACTCGGCATCTAAGCCCAGACACCGGGAGGCCACACATTTGCGTTTGGCCGGCGTGAAGAGGTTAACTGACAATTGCACGGTCATGCAACGCTGCACCCAAATGAAATTTACATCCTTTTTTGTCCACAAATAGAGCTTTTTTTGGTGGTATTTGATCACCTGTGCGTTTTAAATTTTTTCTCTATAAACAAAAAAGTCCGACAATTTTGGGGGAAAAAAAGATATTTTTGACTTTTTGCTATTAAACATGTCCAGTAAAAAAAATTTAAAAATCAAATTTCGTCATACATTTAGGTCAAAATGGATTCTGCTCCGTGTCATTGCTACAAAAAAAAATCCCAATACGTGTAAATTAATTGGTTTACGTGAAAGTTATAGCGTTTACAGATGGCGGTATAGATAGCGGTTGGTTTGTTTTTTTTTTTTATACTAGTAATGGTGGCGCAACACATAGCGGGACTGCGGCGGACATTCTGACAAAGGGTGGGACCTAACTGTCACTGACATCCCAGTGACTGTAGTACAGAGATCAGTGCTAATAAAAAGCACTGACGCTGTATTAATGGCACTGGGCAGGAAGGGGCTAACATGAGGGGCGATCAAAGGGTTAACTGTGTGCTGTTTTACTATGTGAGCTGTGTGTGTGTTTCATTGTAAGCACACGGCTATGCAGAGCCATACAAAGCAGTGTGCAGGAGTTGACAGGGGAGAGATCAGTGTTTACACACAGGTCTCTCCCCCGTCGGTAATACTTGGGAGATAGCAGGGGAATCACCGGCCGGGACCCGGTGATTGATAGCCGTTGCCCGGGTTCCTACCCGGAACTGCAAAATCACATACATACATACACACACATATATATATATATATACACACACACACACACACACATATATATATATACACACACACACACATACACATGATTTTTGCACACCCGTGCCGCCTTGTTGCAGTATTTCTGCTATAGGGCGGCACGGAAGTGGCTAAACAATTCTAGAACACAATATAAGAGCTGCACAGGCCATTTTTGTAAAGGAATTTTTAATATTACTTTTCCATTTTGATCATCAGCCAGCTAAGATCTTCTAAAACGGGGAAAAAATCTAATTTATCTTCATTGCAGCCATGGCAACCGGTATTCAGCAAGTATACAGGATTTCCCAGAAACCCGCCCCTGCTCATGTAACTGTCTCTGTGTCTTTCCCAGAAGTTGGCACAGAGTTTAAAGTGGTTGTAAACTCTCACATATACCCAGTGAAGTTGTACCTGTTTATCTGCAGTCTTCTCTTCTCTACATCTGTTAAAAGTTCACAATTTATAAAGCTTGTCTGAGAGTTCAGAAAAAAAGTGGGTGGGCAGCTGAAAGCACACTCTGCAGAGCTCAGTGAGGAGTCGTGAGAGCTGATTTGAGGGAAGCGACACATCTCCTCCACACAGCACACAGGAACAGAGCAGAGGCTGTCAAATCTGCTGGAGGTCCCTCCTGTCACCTTTTTTCTCTTGGTGTCAGGAAAAGATGTCAGAAGTGATTCATGCTGATAGGAGAGGAACAAGGCAGCAGACAGAAATGACACTTAGGGGTTTATTTACTAAAGCTGGAGAGTCCAAAATCAGACTCCCTTCTGCATAGAAACCAATCAGCTTCCAGGTTTCATTGCCAAAGCTTCATTGAACAAGCTGAGGTTGGAAGCTGATTGGTTTCTATGCAGAAGGGAGTCTGATTTTGGACTCTTCAGCTTTAGTAAATAAACCCCTTAGTGTTCTGGACCGAGACAGGTACACATTATAGAGGGATATGTTTTGTTCATTATTTATGTCTGAGGTTTACAACCACTTTAAAGGCAAATCTGTACTTTGCGCACTTAGTGTAAGCACTTTCCACTTTGAAGCTTGCGTTTATTTGCTTGTATTTTGCCTTCCCTGGTTCTTCTTTCTCCCTTTCAGTAGCTTGCTGATGAAATTTTCTAATAAAACATTTCTGTTTTTAGACACAGTGGTGTCACTGGGTCTCTGTGCTTCTCTATGCAGTAAAGCTCTCAGTCCTCATGTAAGCAGTGGGCTGGCTCTTGGGAGAAGTTATGCAAATATCAAAATGCCTTGAAGGGTGGGTGTCACTCTGGGGGAGTGGGCATTCCTAGGCAGGCTGTATTTGCTCAGAAAACCAACCACATGTGATGCTGAGCCCCTACGATGGAAAGACCCGAAAACCAAATGAAAGGGGTGGGCCGGGGACTGTCAGGCTGGAAAGAAAACAACCAGATGATGCTGGATGTCCTCAGGCAAGAAAACGAGGTGGGCTCTATTTGACTTGCTGCAGCTTCTGATATCAAAATGCCGGTGGGTAGGTGGGAAGAATGTCCCTTACATTGGAGGTCAGTGGGAAGAATGTCCCTCACATTGGTGGTCAGTGGGAAGAATGTCCCTTACATTGGTGATCAGCGGGAAGAATGTTCCTTACATTGGAGGTCAGTGGGAAGAATGTCCCTTACATTGGTGGTCAGTGGGAAGAATGTCCCTTACATTGGTGGTCAGTGGGAAGAATGTCCCTTACATTGGAGGTCAGTGAGAAGAATGTCCCTTACATTGGTGTCAGTGGGAAGAATGTCCCTTACATTGGGGGTCAGTGAGAAGAATGTTCCTTACATTGGTGGTCAGTGGGAAGAATGCTCCTTACATTGGTGGTCAGTGGGAAGAATGCTCCTTACATTGGTGGTCAGTGGAAGAATGTCCCTTACATTGGGGGTCAGTGGGAAGAATGCCCCTCACATTGGGGGTCAGTGGGAAGAATGTCCCTCACATTGGTGGTCAGTGGGAAGAATGTCCCTCACATTGGTGGTCAGTGGGAAGAATGTTCCTTACATTGGGGTCAGTGGGAAGAATGTCCCTTACATTGGTGGTCAGTGGGAAGAATGTTCCTTACATTGGAGGTCAGTGGGAAGAATGTCCCTTACATTGGTGATCAGTGGGAAGAATGTCCCTTACATTGGGGGTCAGTGGGAAGAATGTCCCTCACATTGGGGGTCAGTGGGAAGAATGTCCCTTACATTGTGGTCGGTGGGAAGAATGCTCCTTACATTGGTGGTCAGTGGGAAGAATGTCCCTTACATTGGGGGTCAGTGGGAAGAATGCCCCGTACATTGGTGGTCAGTGAAGAATGCTCCTTACATTGGTGGTCAGTGGGAAGAATGTCCCTCACATTGGTGGTCAGTGAGATGAATGTCCCTTACATTGGTGGTCAGTGGGAAGAATGTCCCCTACATTGGTGGTCAGTGGGAAGAATGTCCCTCACATTGGTGGTCAGTGGGAAGAATGTCCCTTACATTGGTGGTCGGTGGGAAGAATGCTCCTTACATTGGTGGTCAGTGGGAAGAATGCTCCTTACATTGGTGGTCATTGGGAAGAATGTCCCTTACATTGGGGGTCAGTGGGAAGAATGCCCCGTACATTGGTGGTCAGTGGGAAGAATGTCCCTTACATTGGTGGTCAGTGGAAGAATGTCCCTCACATTGGTGGTCAGTGAGATGAATGTCCTTTACATTGGTGGTCAGTGGGAAGAATGTCCCCTACATTGGTGGTCAGTGGGAAGAATGTCCCTCACATTGGTGGTCAGTGGGAACAATGTTGCTTACATTGGTGGTCGGTGGGAAGAATGCTCCTTACATTGGTGGTCAGTGGGAAGAATGTCCCTTACATTGGTGGTCAGTGGGAAGAATGTCCCTTACATTGGTGGTCAGTGGGAAGAATGCTCCTTTACATTAGTGGTCAGTGGGAAGAATGTCCCTTACATTGGTGGTCAGTGGGAAGAATGTCCCTTACATTGGTGGTCAGTGGGAAGAATGTCCCTTACATTGGTGAGAAGCTCACAGTGTGCAGTGAAATCAGAGTAAGCCATTTCAGTCCAGGAGAGGAGCCAGTACAACCGTGCAAGACTGAATGGAAAGCTGGGGTTCTGCTTTAAACCCCCCATATCCCCGAATAAATGCTCAGTGTTCCCCTCACACATATGGGCCCCCATAAACAGTATGAAAGGAAAGAAAAAAGAAAAAAAGTGAAGATAAAAAGGAAACAAACAAAGAAAAAAAAGCAAAGCAATGGAAAACAAGACTCTGTTCTATATGAGTCAGGAATTCGGCATGTTTAAGAAATTAGGGCACCGAGCGCACAAATCTCTCAGAAATGGCCAATAAACAGGATTGCTGGAAGAGCGGCTGGAGGTTCTGACATCATCCGATTCCTGCACTTGTCAGGCTAGAAAACACTTGGCACGAGGGGATGGCACGGCCCCGGGGAATGCACCTTGCCAAAAAGAGAAATTCTACATCACCAGTACGAGGCTCCACCCAGCACTGGATCTGCACAAAACAACATGGCAGAGCTGATCCTTTAAGGCCCCCCGTATTCTTGTGCGCCGTGCATTCCTTTACCCCTCTTGTAGGATCCTGCATACAACTACTCCTTTTTTTTTTTAGGCCCCATGTACACGGGACACTTCTGAACGATGGAAACTGACTGCTGGAGAACGTAGGTTAAAAAAAGTCTGTTTAGCCGCGTTTGCATAATGCGTTTATGTGCATTTGCGTTTAGAAACGTTTTTTAAAGATAAGCACAGGAGAACTCCCAAATGCCCAGAATGCACTGAAAAGTGGCAAATTATTAACTATTTCAGACTGTTTAAGAGAAATACAGAGAGTAGAAGCAGAGGCAGCAGTATGTTTTGAGATTAGCTTAGGTGGGAGTTGCTCATTAACATATCTTTTGTTTTCAAGGGTGGGAGAGGTCTGAGGTGTCTACTTGTCTCAATCCAGAGCACTAAGAGGGCCAGAACCCACTCTTGTACCTGTATATCTGTTGTCTTCTCTACATACATTCAAAGTGCTTAATTTATACAGCTTTTCTGAGAGTTAAGGAAAAAGAGGAGAGAGCTGAAGTAACACTCTGCAAAGCTCTGAAAACTGATTGGAGGAAAGGGACGTCAGAGCTTAATCTCAGTCCCATGAAAAGTGTCCCTTACATTGGTGATCAGTGGGAAGAATGTCCCTTACATTGGTGATCAGTGGGAAGAATGTCCCGTACATTGGTGATCAGTGGGAAGAATGTCCCTTACATTGGGGGTCAGTGGGAAGAATGTCCCTTACATTGGGGGTCAGTGGGAAGAATGCCCCTTACATTGGTGGTCAGTGGGAAGAATGTCCCTTACATTGGTGATCAGTGGGAAGAATGCTCCTTACATTGGTGGTCAGTGGGAAGAATGTCCCTTACATTGGTGGTCAGTGGGAAGAATGCCCCTTACATTGGTGGTCAGTGGGAAGAATGCCCCTTACATTGGTGGTCAGTGGGAAGAATGTTCCTTACATTGGGGGTCAGTGGGAAGAATGTCCCTTACATTGGGGGTCAGTGGGAAGAATGTCCCTTACATTGGGGGTCAGTGGGAAGAATGCTCCTTACATTGGTGATCAGTGGGAAGAATGTCCCTTACATTGGTGATCAGTGAAGAATGTCCCTTACATTGGTGATCAGTGGGAAGAATGCTCCTTACATTGGTGGTCAGTGGGAAGAATGTCCCTTACATTGGTGATCAGTGGGAAGAATGTCCCTTACATTGGGGGTCAGTGATTGTAATACTTTAAATGAAATCCTTACAAACCAGTATCCACATAGAAAAGAAAAAACAAAACAAACAAAAAGTTCTGAAAGTTTGGATCCGGTTCCTGGCAAAGTGACATGTCAGGTGTTGTCTGCAATGTTTTCTTAGACCCATAATGTAGGAATCAATATTCTTGATCACTCCTGGAAGACGCTAGTAAATAAATGTCAGAATTCCACATATCAGGAGATGCGCATTCCCGAGGATCACTCCCTGACTAATAACTTTCATATATTCCTCCCCAGATTATACTTAAAACATCCCTCCGCCTCATGAAATGTGCGCTGAATAAACAAATGATTACTGGGGGGGGGGGGGGGGGAATGCCGCTCTTGAGGCAGAAGAATTTGAGGGCTTATTGGAAACAGGTTTCATCACTTTAAATGTGCCATTTACCAGGAACATTAGCAATGTCAGAGACAAGTTTGGATTCTGAGTGTAACTAATTATTAAATCTGACCGCCAGCTAGCTGCCTGACTTTCACGCTGACCCAGTACTTTGCGCCTCTACCCTAAAAATTGCATGAAGATAAGATTAGCAATGGAAATTCCCCCCAATTCCTCCCCTGACAGGTGTACCTAAAGCTGACCTCCAGCCTTCCCTTCAGTCTTGCACGGTTGTACCGGCTCCTCTCCTGGACTGAAATGGCTCACTCTGATCTCACTGCACACTGTGAGCTTCTCCCCAATGTAAGGAGCATTCTTCCCACTGACCACCAATGTAAGGGACATTCTTCTCACTGACCACCAATGTAAGGGGCATTCTTCTCACTGACCACCAATCTAAGGGACATTCTTCTCACTGACCACCAATGTAAGGGACATTCTTCCCACTGACCACCAATGTAAAGGGCATTCTTCACCACTGACCACCAATGTAAGGGACATTCTTCCCATTGACCACCAATGTAAGGGACATTCTTCCCACTGACCACCAATGTAAGGGACATTCTTCCCACTGACCACCAATGTAAGGGACATTCTTCCCACTGACCACCAATGTAAGGGACATTCTTCCCACTGACCACCAATCTAAGGGACATTCTTCCCACTGACCACCAATGTAAAGGGCATTCTTCCCACTGACCACCAATGTAAGGGACATTCTTCCCACTGACCCCCAATATAAGGGACATTCTTCCCACTGACCACCAATATAAGGGACATTCTTCCCACTGACCACCAATGTAAGGGACATTCTTCCCACTGACCCCCAATGTAAGGGACATTCTTCCCACTGTCCTCCAATGTAAGGGACATTCTTCCCACTGACCACCAATGTAAGGAGCATTCTTCCCACTGACCTCCAATGTAAGGAGCATTCTTCCCACTGACCACCAATGTAAGGGACATTCTTCCCACTGACCTCCAATGTAAGGAGCATTCTTCCCACTGACCACCAATGTAAGGGACATTCTTCCCACCGATCACCAATGTAAGGGGCATTCTTCCCACTGACCTCCAATGTAAGGGACATTCTTCCCACTGACCACCAATGTAAGGAGCATTCTTCCCACTGACCACCAATGTAAGGGACATTCTTCCCACTGACCTCCAATGTAAGGGACATTCTTCCAACTGACCACCAATGTAAGGAGCATTCTTCCCACTGACCACCAATGTAAGGAGCATTCTTCCCACTGACCACCAATGTAAGGGACATTCTTCCCACTGACCACCAATGTAAGGAGCATTCTTCCCACTGACCACCAATGTAAGGGACATTCTTCCCACTGACCACCAATGTAAGGAGCATTCTTCCCACTGACCCCCAATGTAAGGGACATTCTTCCCACTGACCACCAATGTAAGGAGCATTCTTCCCACTGACCACCAATGTAAGGGACATTCTTCCTACTGATCTCCAATATAAATTAACAATTAATAAAAAAATAATCATCTGAATGAGCCCTAGGTGAGCAATCAAAAGAAAGATAAAATGGGAAGAATGGGAGTCAAGGTATAGAAGGGGGAGGGAATAAAGGGAGAGGGTATATTGTTAGAGTCCCTTTACATTTCCTTCCAGTAGTGCTGTGTATAGTGCAAAAATGTTAAACTACTAGCAGAAAGTGAAGAATAAGAATATTGAATCCAAGGGCTCCATACGATTCCAGAATGTATTTGTTTTTGTTAATTTCTTGCATTCATGCAGCTCCTACTTGATAAAGGCAACCCTTCCTCACTGTTTCCAAAATTAAAGACATGGGTTTGGAATGAGTTCAACCTCCAGGAACAACCGTCCCCCAATGCATAGTTACTCTTTAGACAATCTGTGCAGATTATGTGGTCTTCTTGTTATCTGAAGGGTCCCAGCAGACCTTCCAGCCAATACTTGGGAATGAAATGTACTCGGGGTAATTAATGAGACACATGATAAACTTTCACTTTCTGCCTGTGAACCCCTGACCACAGCCAGCACAGCTCATGTCTTTGACTTCAGGATGTTTTATTGCAGCATAGATATCGGACTCTGTTAAATCCAGAAAGGACCAAGCGGCTTACATGCCATATCGCTGGTAAATATTGATTTAAAGATAAGCTGCATATGATCTTGTTAGCTTTGGTATTCTTTGAAAATCCAATACCGTAAAACAGCTCAGAAGAGGTCTCCTTCCAAATAAAATGTTGGCTAGGCAATGTGGAAATCCAATGAACCTCCATCGCTGAACACATGGGCT